GAAGATGCAGAGGGTTTAGGGTTTAGGCAGCTGCTCCTGAACTCATACCAGACTCTGAGGACAAAGTTGTTCCCCTATGCCCGACATCCGAAACCCTAAACCCTCCTAAACCCCAAACCCTATTGGGGCCGGTAGTCCGGCCCGGTGAGAGTTTAGTTAGAGGAAGTTCTTGTTGGGGCCGTTTCGAGTTTAGGGTTTAGGATTTTATCGTTTAGGATGTGGTTAAGAGTACGAATGATATACGCGTCGGGATTACTAGTAGCACTTAGTAAGTAATAGCATCTCCTTGTAGTCTTTAAACAATTATACCCGTTCTCCTCGACTCTAAATATTAATGAGGAGCTGCTTGTGTGTAACTATCCCCAAAAAGGTACGGAGGGCGTGTGTCATGTGGCTGCCAACTTAGGCGCTAGTCAGCCAATCATGGCGAGCATTCAATTCCACCGGCTTAGCTTTTGTTAATCTAGCAAACCCGATGCAGTGAAAGCAATGTGCTGAAAGTCTGGCCGCATAATGATTGAGCATGCAACTCGCTGAGAAACTTGACAATCTGGGCCCCTGCCAAACAGGCAGTTGCTCGGCGAACTCGCATCTTCAATTGCGAGCGAGCAGCGCCGCAGGCTCCATAACAAGATGGACCTGGACAACGGCTGCACCGGCATGCGATTGCCTTTTGGCATGGCTGTTGTGGGCTGGCTCTGCTGTAAACCGTCAGCAGCCAGCCGTTCTTCTCAGCATCCGGCAGGTCCTCTGCGAAGGTAGGGTTTAGGGTTTAGGGTTTAGGGATTCGAATGAGCTGATGATGGCAGTGCCCGGCAACGTCACTTGCAATCCGAGCCGGTTGAAGAGTTCATCAAGCTCTTCCTTCTCAGCGATGCGTTACTGGAAGAGTCCAGAGAACTGAACCATTCCCTACCCCTAGAAAAGGATGTTGAAGTTCTGTCATTTATGGAAGAGGATAGTCATACTAATCTTTCCTCTACGGTAAGGCTGTTTCGGGCTTCAGGACTGAACCTCAAGCCCTGCGTCCCCAAAAGCTCTTAGGCTGGAGCCGGAAATTGCCGATGCGCCCGATTACGGCAAGTATGATCGCGCGGAGGACACGGTCGGGTCTAATGGCGACTTATAATCAAGGATTAATAAGAAATGAAGTAAGGGCTTGAAAAGGTTGGCAAGGGCTGAACGAGGACTGTATGCAGGGCGTAAGGGCTGAGTAGGGGGCTTCAGAACGGCTTAAGAAGGTTTGTACAAGGGTGTACTGAGGGTTTAGCACGGTTAGATAACGCGCGAAATAGCGCTATATATAGGCTTGATGAGACGGCGGCTCCATGATAAGGTGAGTACGGACTTAGTCTTGAAACAGTGCAGTACATGTTATAGCGTCATGGGGTTGAAACACTACAGGGTGAAGAGAGTCGGTTAGCGTTTCCTCGATGCGTGAACGAGCCACACGCAGAATGTTTCGCACTCCGGTTGTGACGCAGTGCATGTTTTGCGCTCGTGTCCAAGTATCCGCATCCTCCGGACAGCACAATCCATTGCCTGAATTGTAAACTGCTTGCATGGGTCAGGGTAGGCTTTCCCTGCTGCGGCGATTCAGCGGAGCTCCTCCAGAGAGGAGCCAAACCCAGAACCCTAAACCCCTATGTTAGGAGTTCCCTGCTCCATGCGATTTCTTTCTGAGAGAGCAGACCGGGGACAGGTCTCTTGCCTGTCTTGAACATGTTTTCCAGAGCTGTACATGCTCTAGGCGCTAGGTGCCCCAAAACCGTTCTGAATCCAAAGCCCTAGAACGCTGAACGTGCAAACCCCGTAGGAGATCTTGCTAAATGACATAGCTTAACCTAAGTTACCAGAGCGAGGAACTTCCACTAGTTACACCTTACTAAGCGCCAAGACTCTTGTGAGGCCCCTCACGGAACCTTTCACAAAGCATTCCTATGCATAAATTCTGTTCAGTTAAGTTCCTTAAACCCTAAACCCTAAACCCTAAACCCTAAACCCAGGAGACCTTAAACCCAAACCCATTTCGACTGGCCCCTTAGATTAAACCCTGAAAGGACTTGCCCCAGCGGCCAATCATTGTGCCGGTGAAGCGCCTGGACTTCGTTCTTCACCGGCGAAAGAAAGGCTTTGGGTTGAGGGCTTAATATAGGGTTTAGGGTTTAGGGTTTAGGGTTTAGGGTTTAGGGTTTAGGGGCCTTAATAATTGCCTATACTATTTTGGGGGTTCCTTATTATAATTATTGCACGATGGGCCCCAAAACCCTATTCTAATTATTAAGGCCGCTACATTACAGGGCTCTGGGTTTAGGGTTTAGGGCTTAAGGCCTAGGGCTTAGAAGTTCGGGCTGAGGGCTTGGGGCTAAAGGTTCGGGGTTTTGACAAAGTGTTGTATGGCTCTGTTGTGGTGTATAAACTGGCTGTTGTAGGGTCGTGTCGGGTATTTTTCAGATTTTTGTGTCGGGGTGGTTAGAGTTAGAGGAGCTTGGGGCATCATACCTAGTGTTTAGGGTTCAGGTTCAGGGTTTGGGATCTGGGGTTTGGGGGTGGAGGGTTCAGGGGTCCATCATACAAGCAAAGGTCGTGCATTTGTCTTGCTGTTCGACATTATTCTCCCTAATTAGCCGTTATTATTGCCCTATTTAAAGACACCCTAAACCCTAAACCCTAAATCCTAAGTCACGCTTGTGGTAACATCGCAATGATTCGCCGTCATGGCCGCGATGCTAAGACTTGTCATCTGACTTTGTTGTCATAGTGGTAGCCATGTGAATCATCACAGAGACAAGGATTTAGGGTTTAGGGTTTAGGATTTAGGGTTTAGGGTTCATGAAAGTCCTCGGTACGACTTGCCACAGCAGCAGCAATAGATTTTCCTTTGAGAAGCACAGCCTGGTGTCCTTGGCCCAAAAGCCCCGAAAAGCCTAAGATCCAAACTGGCACAACTAGGCTTGGATCAAAGGCAATGACGGCTTAGTTTTTAGCAGCTTTCCGCTTAGCTCTGCTTCCATGCTCTAGGGCTTGGTAGTGAGTAGCATGATGTGGTCATGATTGCTTATATACTTCAAGCAACGTGCCCATATCCTTGCTTACGACATCCCCTGAGCCTGGAAGTAAATCTAGCCCTAAACCTCTGAGCCAAATCCTCCGCCGCTTCAGTGCGCCACCCTATGTTCGGAGATGCGCCAGTGCCAGAGGAGGTACAGCTTCATCATGATCTAGGCGCACACTTGGGGAACCGTGTTCTATCTCAGGGCACATACATGCATACACATACATACATGCATGCATACATACATATGTTTGTACATATATACATACATATTTACATGCATGCACGTTTACATACATTCGTTCATACATGCATACTGACACACATACGTGTCAGTCAGTCAGTCAGTCAGTCAGTCAGTCAGTCAGTCAGTGAGTGAGTTAGTCGGTCAGTCGGTCGGTCATTCATCCATGCATTCATTCACTCATTCATTTGTTTTCAAGCATGAGTACAGTCGTTCGTTTATTCAGTCAGTCAGTCTGTCTGTCAGCCAGTCATTTCAGTCATTCGACTCTTCGTTTGTTTTTTACCAGACAATGGTGATAGTTGCAGATACGTCTTCTTCATCTTATCATCGACACTGCTACTTCTCGTTGTCGTTGCTGTTGTAGTTATGGTTGTGTTGTTGCGGTTGTGGTTGTTTTCAGCAGCGTAACATCCTTATGTTCTTCTGTACGGTTGTTGCATCACGCATATCTGTTTACCTCTTATCTCTCGTCTGTCATAGCACATCTTGCTTTCACCGTTGGTGATGCTAGACCAGCTCCGGCGTATAAATGCTTTGGAACTCTACTTGGATTCCTGCGAGAATAGGTACCTGCGGTTCAAGGTTTAGGGGTTCAGGGTGTAGCACAAGTAAGCTTGTAAAAATGACATCTATGGAGACGTCTACTTGTGAGCCGAGGTAAAAACAAAGATCTATTCAACTGCCCTCAAACCTTTCGGCCCCAAACCCCGAGCCATTGAGCCTCCAAGAAATGTTTCCAGAAGTCCTTGGCCGGACAACTATCCACGAGACGTCCAGTTTAGGGCTTTCGGGTTTTAGGGTTAGGGTCTTCGGTTAGGGTTCGGCCTGTGTGACTGTGCCACGCAATGGTATGTGCGGGGGTGCCCGTCACACTCCTGCGCTTGCCCTATAATGTAGCCATTTTGGCTCAAGTCACACTCACCCAGCTTGCCGCGTGAG